TTCAGCCATGTTTAACCACTTAATTATGGCACTTTGGGGAAAACATTTGTTTAAAGTTCGATTGCACTAGAAACAAATATTATCTCTAGCATTTTAAAATTAGCTTGTCGTGTGTCACAACAATTACAAGCGTATTTGACAACTAACAGAGTCTAAAAGTCAACATACATTTTAGTAAGCTGTATTTGCAGTACATTAATCAAAAATCATCTCCGCAAGATATAAGGGTTACATATTATTTATTAAATTTTCTAGAGGTATCATTTAAGATAATATCCTTCAACCTCGAAAGAGTACCATTTTAATGCGCTTAAAGCAGGTCGCGGAACAGAAAAAAAAATATAAAATAAAAGGATGTGGGCAGCCGAGTGTCAGCGACAGCCCCAGGCGAAGCAAAACCCAGAAACAACAGACCCAACTATCCACAACCCTTCGTAAAATACCCTCTAACTTAGTAACAAAAAATGTGCCGGCAAAAGGGAGAGATGGCGAGAGAAATAGGGGAAAACGGCAAGAAAAACTTAACAAGTTCACTTAGAAGAAATTAAGTTTTCAGCATTTATGTTAGGAAAACTGTAAAGAAAAACTTTCTTAATGAAGCGACGACAATGTGGTGAGCAATGAAGAAATGTTAGCAAAAAATAGCACTACTGAAGCGCACAAGTTTGCAATGAAAGAATACTAAATGAGGTTCTTTACAGAGTCAAAAAAAAAAACTGAGGAGAAAGTTTAAACCTTAAAACATTTCAATAATATTTGTATTAAAAGAAAGTAACTTATTATTTTAAGTGACACAGAAGAACGTGAACTAAAAAATTTTACTGCTCACAACAATGGAAAAAATAATAGCAAAACTGAAAAACATGCCGCACAGGTAATTAAAATTAAGTCAAGACAAAGTTAAAATTAAGTCAGTTCTAAAATCTCGTAATTTTAGCTAAAACACAAATAAGTATACCCAGCATTTTTCGCTGTTGTTGCACGTCCAATGTTTATTAATTATTTGCCAAGTGCTTTTAGATGGGGACTCATCAATCCATAGCACACCCAAAATTAACCTAATTTTTTACCCACTCAATGCTTGGGGTGTGCGAAATGGGTCTGAGGCGAAAAGGTGAGCCCGCCGCCTTGTTTTCAAACTCTTGGCAATTTTTTACCTTCGTAACTCACACAAACCGACCCGTGGACCTGGACCCCTGAGTATATTTGTGAGAAAAGCAGCCACAGTTGGAAAACTTTTCCAGTCGCTCCAGTCCCTTTTGCCCCCTGCAAAGCTGTTTTGGATGCTGTGGGTAGCGCGTTTTCCATTGCTTCCTCATTCTGGTAGAATTTACTCCTCTGAAGATAAATTATATAAGCATTTCCCAAAGGTTAACGTGATAAATTTCCGGCAGCGTAAGCAAAATATCCCACAGAAAAACCCAAAGTCTGGCTTCGATCTTGCGGCCAAGTTGCAGAAAAGGACTAAGGACTCGGCGCATATGTGTGTGCGAGTGTGTCAGATAAATTGTTTATGTGTCTGTGGGGAAGCGATTAGTGTTAATGGGTTCCTCCCCTCGCTGCTGGCCCCAAAAAACTTTCTTAAAAAATGTGTGATTTTTGGCTTTATTTTTTTTTTCGGTGCGATATTGGATTCAAGTTTTCTTTTCAAACACTTCGACTGCGCCATATGAGCAATCGATAAGTGCACGAAGACCGGCCAAAGGGGGTTGGAACGATTGGACAGTTGGATAGACAGTCATATGGGAACCAGTCGTACATCGGGATATATATTTTCAATTTCTTTTTCAGCAGAACGCACATAAAGTTTGCCCAGCAGTGCTGGCTGTGCTGAGATTGCAACAGGGGGGCTGGCAGGGATTGCAGGGATTGCCAGGACAACAGGCAGGACATTCCCAAAAGTGCCCTAGCCATTGTCATTGCATCGACTTTTGCTGGAGTTTCATGTTTAAATGTCAATTTCTCAACGAGCCAAAGTGACCAACGAGCAAACCGGCATCCAGTTGTTGCTCCTGCTCCTTCTTCCTGCTGCTGCCGGCCAAGTCCTTTTTTCGCCTGTCCTTGCGCATTTCGAAAGGCACAGCTGTAATGTATGTGGAGGCCATGGCATATATTTTTTAACGCCACAACGTCGGTATGGTCGGAGTTATTTTTTCAATTACTTCATTGTTGATAGGAGGTGGAGAGCACACAAAGGAAAATAGCAGGGATTGCGGTCAGTTTGGCTCTTCCATTGTTTACCCGACTCGATTAGAAGTCCAAGGTGTTGTGATTTGTTGGGCGAAGGATTTATTCGGACAAATATTTAAAACATATTCCTTGAGCTCGTCGCATTGTGAAAAGGGAGATGGAAAGCCAAAAAGAATTTTGAGTTGACCGAAAACCGCAGAAAAATTGCAACAAAGGTGTACTTTACAACATGAAAGTTTTAAAATCTTTTGCTTTAATGATTTGGAGTATGTACTTTATTTAGGTATTTATGTTTTCGGATAATGTTAGTTAAAGTATCTGTAAATAAACAGTTTTTTCACCCACCTACGAAGTTATAAAATTGCCCTACGCTACCCATAAACATCGAACAAAACCGGACAACCTAAACAACTCAATAAATCAACGGTCGACCGAAGGGCCTTTCCTGCTGCCAGAAAAAATTGTAAACAAAACACACAAATGTCAATCCTTTCGCCAGCGAACCGGATTGGCCAGTCGGTGGATGGAGGTCGATGGTGGTGGCGGGGCAATTAGTCCTGGCAGAGTCCTGACAGAGTGGGCGGGGTCAAAGGCTTAGTACTGCTAATTTTCAATTTGCATGACACCCAGCCTGCCATCGATAGGCGGTTGATGGTGATCCCCATGACGACGATTACAACGGCCAACGAAATATAAATAAGTTTGGCAATTTAATTGAAATGGGCCGGGTGTGCCGGGGGCCAAAGCTCACGGAAACGACTATTTTGAATGAATTAAATGGCCGTCGAAAATCTTTATTTATAACAGCTGCGAGCCAACTCCTCTGTCCTCAGTCCTCTGTCCGCTGCCCGCCGACCAAGACCCCTGTTCTGTCTGCCCTGCCATCAGAAATATTAAATGAAACGGAGCAAATCCCATTGTCACCCGGTTTCGGGATTCGAAATTGGCAAATAATTGACAAGCTATTTGGGGCGTGTTGATTGGCAAAAACTAATGCCAGCAGGACGCTGCGACTCTGGCCAGCGAAACACGAGGGCGGCGGGAAATCGATATACATTTGACTGATGGACATTGTCTCCTCGTTCAGTTGTACAAAAGTACATTGGAAGAAATTTCTCAAATATGACTTACAATTTGATTAATTAGTTACGTTATTTTTTATTATTTATCAGATAAACACGAATAAAGAGAGTGAGTATTAGAATGCATTTATCAACATATATGGATTTACTTTTTTAATATAATAGAGTTATAATTAGAGCATTAACTCTGTCCAATATGCAAGTGTATCACTGACTATCACAACAGACAAAAAATTAATTTAAGAGAACTTAGAATAGTTATGGCTATTAAGTTACTAAATATATTTTAAATTATTAGTTTTTTGTTTAAGGCTGTCATGAAATTGATTATTTCAAAAACAAATGTTTGGAAAACTCTTTTATAAATTGTTCTTCTACGTTAAATTATTTTGGGTTACATAAAAAATTATTTTAAAAAATATAAATAACATGAATACATCTTTTGACAAATTCGAAACCAATATACCCGTCGCGATTTGTATAAAAAAAGAAGACGTGACAAGTCCGCATGAAACAATGTGACATTAAGCCATTTCAACGCAAAGGGGATTTGGACCGCCCTTCTGTTTCCAGTTTCTTTGCTAGCTGATGGCTTTTTTGGCCAGGACACGCAGTGTCCAATACATCAGTATATATTCATATTAAACACATATTCTCATGCAGGGAGATTCGTGAACCTTCTGCGGATAAATCCGTCGGCCAATCCGTCTGAAACCACATGGAACACAGTCCATTGATGCGTTTCGTCTTGTTAAAATAATTGACAGGTGGTCGTGGGCCTGTGGATTGTGGGTTGGGCCAATCTCTAAGAGGACCTAGTTTCGGAGCATTAGTGCCATTTATGACAATGCCGGGACAAATTGCGGGCATTGAAATTGATTGGCCAGCTGTCTGTGGGCAGGTGGCTTAAATGCGGGCCCGTTTGTGGGTATATTTTCACAAGCTTATATATAGTTCAGCAGTATTAGAAATAAAATGCTCCAACCTGAATCATCCAAGAAAAATACTAGAAAAATAGAAAATAGTATCCAAGAACTGTTATCTTTAATTCCAAATTAAATTAAGTCCAGTCGTCACCAAATATACAAAACAAATATTTACCCAAATAGGTCGAAAAAGTTGGCGAAGTGAAGTTCCTAGGCCAGTGACAAAAACAACAAGTTGAAGCGCTTAGAATAAAGCGAACTTTCCGCAGCATCGAAATCAAATGTTTTCATTGAATTTCATTCGAGACGTGTTCATGCAATTTTAATTAGTTGGCGAGCTATAATTTATTCAAAGCCACGTCGTTCCAGGGTCAATGTAATGAATTTTCTCTCTGCCTTTGGGCTTTCTTCCATTCCATTTCTTTTGTTTTCGTTATAGAATGTTAAAACCCCTTAAAACAACAAAGCTAAGTAGATAAATTGGTAATTACATATATGTCAGGAAAAAATTTGGGTTCCCATTTATAAACTTTTATTTTTAAATAGCATTTATATTTATAAAAAAAAGTTCTTTATTCGTTTTGTATCTGCCCTAAAAATCTTGTAACCTTCTGATTATTAGGAACTGACCTTCTTCATAAGAATGAAAAATTATTTTAAAGAAATACTTTTATCAGTTCTTGTTATTCACTTCATAAAAGATTTCGCGAGAACTGATAAGGCCTGCGATTCTACTTATATGAGGGGTATAAATCGGAGTAGATTGTTTCTTACTGAATCATTCAGAGTTGAACATCAATAATGACACTTAAGCTTGCTTTTGCTGTTATACTTTTCTGCTGCGCCTTCCTGGGCTTTGGAAGTGCCGGAGGTTTTGAACCGCCCTATAACTATCGCGGTTCCAATCTAGTAAATAAAAATAATTACAAATATCTTGAAGCATATTAAACTAATTTAATTTTTCAGAGAAGGACTATGCAGCAACCACCTATTTTGGCTCCAGATTCTGGACCAAACTTTGGCTTTTCTGGCGGCTTTGAAGTCATTGGTGGCAATCCAGGTGGTTCCGGCTGTGGACTATGCTCCTTAAATGTCCTAGCCGGCAATAATCGTGATAGATTTAGCCCAACTAATACTCCTAAAAATAAAGCACAATAAATAATGTATTTGTGAATTTCTCAATCGTCTATATATGTTCAGTAATCACGATAGTCGAAGTTCTGCTATAAATAAATGTTTAAACTCTGAATCACCCGTCATTTGATTCCCAGAATACAACTTGAAAGGTTTATAAGAAGTTGCATTATCTTATACTAAGTATTTAATCATTCATTGTATGGAAATCTTAATATACTAAGTATACCATTTCTGGTGATAAGGCTCACAAGCACACACATTTCAAAAGTATAAAAGGAATCCAACAGATGCCAATATCACAGAATTACAAAGTCTCTCTTGTTTGATCAACAATGTCGGTAAAGCTTGCTTTTGCAATTCTACTTCTCTGCTGCGCTATTTTCGGCCTCAGCAACGCCAATTCCTTTTACTACAAACCTGTAAGTGAAAAAAAATAAATTATTCTTAAATGTTTTAAAGCTAAAAAATATTTTTTTTCTTTGCAAACAGCACAGGGGACCACCGCTTCCAACCTTAGCGCCTACTAAACTACCGTCCTGCGATGTAAACACTCTAGCTGGAAATATTTTTGACAACCGTTCGCCGCATCAGAAAGAATATATAAAAAATGTAATTATAATTTGATATAAATATATTTGTAATACCAGGCCATAAAGATGTTCATTACTATACACGAGACTAGCAAATCAAGATAGGAATATATACAATTAGGAATCTCTAGACGTTTGTCTGCTAATATTCAATTTTTTACTCAGTAAAGCTCCACCTCAAGCAAAAAGCAAAGTTTTAATTGACTCGCCCAAAGCAAAATTGTTTTGTGTGTACCTGTGGTGTCTAAATGCCACAACTAACAACTTCAGAAAGAGCTTCGGGAATATCCCGGAGAGCTCCCAATTTCTCCAACGCACTTGAAACAAAAATACAGGAAAATAATACAATTTTTTTTAATATTGATTATGATATTTATTTTTAAAATATACATATATAGCAGCATTCTTCCACCAACTTTAAGCTTGCTTATATCATCCTTTTATGCATCTATTCCTAGACAAAATTATTCAAACTAGACTATTTTAAAAGTGTAGTTGCGGTTTTCTGCATGTGTGTAATTGTGCGTGTTTTATGCTTTTGCGCCCTGCGCCAACTTAAATGCTAACTTATGTTTAGATTTTGCCCAATCCCGAGTTGCAGAAAAAAGACGTTGCAAGGGGGGCAAAAGGGTCAGAACAGCTAAGCCGGTTGCCACATTGTTTGCCCGGTTGTATGTCGGGGTTTTTGGCAACTTCAACTGCAACAACTTCAACAGCAGGAGCAACATCAGCAGCAGTTGCTGTGGAGCAGTAGCAGTCAAATTGCAAAAGTTTCTTGCTTTAAGCATAAAATATTTATGTCTGCATTTAGTTTAGTTTTGGCTGGGTTTTTAGTTACTTTCCCAGTTGAGGAAGATTTCTTTGTTGCAAGTTTGTCTGGCTGCAGTTTTATTAAAACGATATTGGCCGGGTCAAAAAGGGGAAACGAGGGCGATGGAAGTCATGGCCTAAAATGTTCAAAAATGCCTTATTCTTAATTAAATGGCTTGCAAGGCAACGTCAAAGAAAGGCCTTCTTGAGTGAATGGCGATTGCCAAATTGAAATTTCAATCAATGTTAATTAAGGTGAATCGAATTTCTCCACTTCACTTCAGGCAACTAAAATGCATTCACCTACGAAACAGTTTTGAGTGGTAGTAAAGTGCATTTGTTTGACGTTAAAATGATTTTGTTTGAAATTTCTTGGCATCAGTTTATCGAAGTAAATGCAAAACTCAAACTTTATCATAAATTACATCTTGTTTATTTAAGCGCTTCTTTCAACAAATCCCTTCCAGAATAATAATAATCTGTGCATTAATACCACACAAGTACCTAAAACTGTGAAAACAAAAATAAATAAACACATAATTTTTTAATTACCTTGTGCAAAAATTGTATACAATTAAGAAGCCATATATTTCCTCAGTACGATTTGTCTTCACTTCAAGAACAGAAAACAATTTGAACCTTACACGTGTCATTAATTAACAAATAATTGTGTTGGCTTTAATTTCATAATCACATAAGTATTTATTTGTGTAATTACATTAGTTCATTGAGCTATGAGGTAAAAGCATTTTTATATCAAGTGTTACTATATACTTTTCAGATACTAACCAAGTTTTTTCTTTAAGTAAAGTATTCTCAGCCCAAGCGATTAATTTCCTTCACACCTTATTTAACCCAGATCCTTGTGCTTTTGCTGTCCCAGGCGGTTTGTCAAATCTATACTTTCTATTTCCTATTGTTCTGCGTTGTGGTGCTCGAGCAACTTTTACGTAAACAAATGATTTCTGTTTACACACTCATTTCTCAACATGTTACCTATTTAAACTTTTGTGGACAGGAAAATTTAATTAAAACCAAAACACAGCTGCTCCTCGAGTGAGCCCGAACCCCGTCTAAAATCAACAAAAGTAAGAATATGAAGACGTTACCGGGCACGGATGGAAAATCCGGGGAAAACCCAGACACTCACAGCAATATTTTCAATTATAACTCAAGTTTATAACGGAAAACTTGTGAGTGAACTTGAAGGAGAGAGATATAACCGGGAAATTCATGAGGGGAACGGGCTAAATAGAAAAGCTTTAAACGGTTTTTCGCTCAACAATGGGGAGTAAAAAAATAAGAAATACAGCACAAGCCCCAAAACAATAAACTGTAAAATGAAAACTGTGCGAACGAGATATTGACACAAATAAAAAAAAGAACTGGCTTCGAAATTCAGTTAATTTGAAGAGTTCGTTTTCCGGCTTCTCGAGCAAAGTGGAGCCGGGCAGGAAGGAATTTCCATTGTGAAATAAATTTACTAAAACAAATCAAAACTTTTCATATAACTTTCGCATCAATCGAGAGTGAGTGAGCGGGCGCTTGGGCGGCATGCATGCTGGGGAAAAACAATACAAAAAGCTCCAAAGAGCCACAACAAATTGTTGGATTGTGGATTTATAATAGTACAACGCTGTTGGGGGAACAAAAACCATAAAGACGTAGCACAAATTTCAAGCTCAAGTTTACCCAATAGCGTTTTGTCCTTGTAAATTGTCCCTTTGGCACGAGGTATTTGAGAAGTGAAAGGGTATATTGCATTAGCTTGTAGAATTATAAATTCTTTTCATTTTAAATTATAATATATGTTAAACAAATAGGTAATAGGCCGAGTTATTGTTTGTACGTATGTGTATGTTGGGGAACTTAGACATATTAGTAGGTATCTGAAGGTTCTTTAACTTCCACAGTCTCCTCTTTATATTATTCATCATATGACTGTCCGTTTTCTGCGGTTCATTTTCAATAGGTCTTTCTGAGGTGACTTTTGCGAGAAGGTGAGCCTGCAGATGGTCCTTTTGAAATGAGGACAGCGAATGTGGGTGGGACAACAACTTCTTTGTGTTGATGACGTGTCAACTTTTGTGGAACTGCAAACTTTGCGCAAAATGAAGCGACAAAGCGAAACCTTCACAGTAAAATCCGGGAAAAAAAATCTTACAAAGAGGAAGGAGAAACTGCACGATAAAGTTTTTTCCTTTTCTTTAAATTGAATTAACTTGAGAGCAGACCCGAAGAGAAGGCGGTGCGATGCCCTTTACACCGGCGGAAAACTTACGATGATTTATTTGCTTCACATGGCAAAGTTGAGTGTCACTTTTTTCCTGTCGTCGTGAAAAGCGATGTAAAAAGAGATGGAAAACATTAACAAAAGAACGTGGATCTCAGGAAAAGGGGTGGAGAAGTAAATGCCCACCCATGACTTCAAAACTGCTTAAATAAATGATTTAAAATGGCTCTACTGCATTTATAAAACATTATAAATAAATAATATTTTTTTCACAAAATTATTGATTTATAGTAATTAAAACTATAATGATTTAATTCTCTAGAACCTTCGGGCTTCCCAGTACTTAAAAGAAATAACTCTTATCAATTCTTAGTATAAGCTTGGATTGTTGCATAAGTATTTCAATTACACGGAATTATTCTATACTGTACAATACTTAGGCATATAAATGAGGTCATTGTTCAGTGCATTATGTAGATTTTCTTATTCTTCCAAAAAGCTTTTTTAGATTCATTTTCATTTCAATGAATGAATTTGTTTAATCTTTAAAATCCCACAGTCTATTTTCTAATTGTTCTTGACTGTGTGCAGCTTAATTAGTCTAAAATTACGCTTAGTTAGGTTTCATTGAAGTTTAAATGCTATAGACTAAAAAAAAGAACATAAATTTAAGCCAAATTCATATATTTCAAAGTGTTTTAGCTTGCACAAAAATGATAAAAGTATTGATAAAATTGTTTTATTATTTCAAAATTTACGAGACCACAAGAAAATATTTTCTGTCATTATTTATCAAACTAAAAGCTGCAAGTCAAAAACGTTTAGATATACCATATTTAGCAATTGGAAAAAATGCTCACCAAAGCTTCAGATCAATCTGGACTGAGAGAAAAGTTCCCTCGACAGCTTCCTGCTTATCTGGGAAAACTAATTTGTTAAAATGTTGCCTGGCTTATTTGTCGTCGTCGTCGTTTGGGAACAATTTTGAAGCTGATGCCGAAGACACTGACAAAATCCAAAATGCCAAGCATCCATCATAGAGTTCAGCGGAGGAAAAGGAGCAGACTGCCGACGACTTTTGGCGTCTGCATTTTTGGTTGAAAAATAAGTAAGGCGAAATAAATTTCTATAGCAGGGACGCAGTGTCGCCATCAACTTGACTTGCTCAAGTCAAGTAAGCTGCAAGCCAAATGCTTTGTGCATTTTTTGTACTCTTTTTCCACAGTCCTTCTTTGTGTACCTCGTAATGTTGAAGTGAAAGATATAAGGTTATATCATTGGCCTCTTTCGGATTAAAAAAGGAGAAGCAGCTAATACTTGTTTCTTTTGCTTTTTTTCTTAAAGAAGTCAAAGAAAATATATGCTGCAGAAAACATTAACAAAATACTTTTGTTATTAAGCTTTATCTTTAAGTTTTTATTACGAATATGTTTTGATCTTTGTTATTATATTTTAAATAAGAACAACTTTTTTACTTTT